ATAAACTAATCAGTTTCCTTAAGTGACTCCAAGAATTTGTTCCACCCCCATTTCAAGGCAGATAACTGCACCAACGAACTTACATCTGGAATTGTATGCAGACAAGTGCTCTAGTTTCGCTTAGGTGGGAGATTGATTAAAAAGGAAAAAATGTTTCTGTGGAGATATTATAGGCATAAAAAGCTTCAGTGAATATGTTGACGGACTCGTTCACCATTTTAAAGTTTGTCTGTGACGAGATACTGTGAAAGAAGGGAACCTGATGATTATATCATTTCTTAAGAAAGTTTTTGGTAGATCAAACTTGTCATTAACCCAGATTTTATATATTTGCAATTACCGGGTACTAAAACACTCTGTGGTACCAACACTGTAGAGGTATTGAAGACAGAAACAGCAGCTTCCTTACTGGGATGAAGTGTTGTTGGACATTCAGATGAAATAGTCCTCGTTAGGAGAAAATACAACACATGCCGGGAAAAATCAAATAATACCCGGGTCCTTGGTCTGTACGACACCACTTTCCGGAAGGGATTAGTCGGAATAATACTAGACAGAAAATGAACGACTTTAATACCCATTATTACTAGACTGGTGAAACCGGGGTCTATAAAACACACGGCTGAATGAAAAGGATATAATTCAGAGTAATCGCTTGGATATGTTCACTATAGATTCAACCAAATTCTATTGAAGGATTTTGGGAAAGACTGAAGAATAGGACTACAGCTATTAATGGGTCTCAAAAGGACATCATCTACAGTCGTCTGGATGAAAACATGTATAGAATGTGATCCAACTACTCCATTGACACTCCAATGCAAAACTGGGAGGTATTTTTGTCACGCATCAGGGGAAACGTATCCTCTATAACAATTTCTGACCTTTTTATTCATTATTTTCACGAATATTTGTATTTTCTGCGTTAAAAAAGCTTTTCTTCATGGGATAGGTGCATCCAAAGTCATTTATTCCCTGCTTCATTGATTATGTATTAATTAAATTAGTATTTTGTGTTTGAAAAATATGAGAAAAATAGAGTGTAAGAACAGTGTGGTATGCTACGGAACTAGTTTTACGTAACAAATCCATATTTTTAAAAAAGACATCTTCAGACATAGAAGATTTCGTCGTACAAGATGAAAAAATGTCACCTCACTGTTTCCGCCTTCTTTGTATATCTGTAACTCTCGTTAATTAATATAGACATTAAACAATGTTATACTCAAACGAAATTTATTCGACTTTAACTCTTTTAGTAGCTGTAGACTATCAATTCTCGAAATATTTTCATAATTCTTTTATGTACTAGATACATTTATCAATCATCTTAGAAGGGATATTCGGGTTATTTGCATTATTTCTACTGATTTCTAGATGATTCTTACTTTGGACTTCAGAGAAAATCAATAAGGAAATCCTGTTAGGAAGAAGAAATTTTCACTAAAGTAAACGATTCGTATGGGATGCGTTTCAACAGTTGACTTTCATGCCTTGTTTACACCATGTTATTGTCCCACAACTGGAGTAGAATTTAATGCATACACTTCAAAATTTCTGTCGATTTCTTATACATAAAAGATTATCATTATTATGGATAGCCTTTTTCAAAACTGCATGACTTGTAAATTAATCAGCAGGATGAAGTAATGTCATACATGTAATCCTTAGTCTCTATGCCAACTGAAATCTATCAGTCAGGTTTGCAGTGTAGTCAGCAAGCCTAGTGGCTCGAGGTCACTATGCACTTTCATATCATATTAGGTGATCACAGGCATTCTTTAAGAAGCCCTAAAAATAAGATATTGTACTCGTCGCAACTCCACAGCAAGGCGTGAACGAAAATTTGAAGGAACCAAATTGGCCTTGGAGATTTGAGTTCACATCAACACTAAGCTGGAGTAGTTTATTAATAACTTTTCTGACTGAATTACTTAGTGACACAGTTATCAATCCTGTAGGGAATATCAGTTGCAGATGCGCCTTGTCGAGGAGTCCTAAAATATACGAAATCTAGATCCGGGGCTTCGTGATTATTACCCTCAACCACGTCAGTATATAATATATTTGACCTTGGTATATTTCATTACTAAATGACAACCAGAAGGTTTATAACTCTTTGCTGTTTAATTATCACAAAACTCCGATAAAAAATTACAGTGTATCATCGCACTGGTTGTGTCGGAGTGTGATTTTGTGTGTATTCTAAAATTTCATGGTTTCCTGAGATGACTAATTATCAAGGAAGCTTTGCTGTTGTTAACAGTTGCAAACAATCGTTGGGAAAGTTCTATAGACAAGCTACACTCTTGAGCAACATTTACAATTATTTCTCCTTTTCTGTATTCGTATTACACAGTTATGTAAACAAAATGTAAAACTAACTCCATGTTAGACAATTTTATTTTAAATGACATAATAGCATATGATTATGGGCAATAATTCATGCTCGAAAAGTCATCCAGTTGTTAATACCACATTACTGTGTGATATTTAAAATAAACTTATCTAATGTGGAATTTAAAACAAGCAACAAAGGTTAATAAAGCAGGATGACTAATGAATTCATCAAATTTCGGTAGAACTCGTCAGCTGAATACTCTACATACACAGATGTATATGTACTTTTGAAATTACATTGGGAGATATAAGACTGATAAGTAAACAAACTACATTGAATTAGTCATGCAGAAAGACAGGTGCGAATGTTTTCCAGGTCATGTTCAAATAGATAAGGGGAGAGGGGGTATGAGAGAATAAAATTACGATAAAATGCATTACGCTTCAACTGCATCACTTAGATAACCAATTAGTCACTAGAGAATATATCAAGAATTGCAAACAGAGTAATATCAATAGTAATAGTTATAATAATAATAACAATAATAATAACATTGAAGTGAGTTAAGATAATGCAACTGACAAAAGATAGTTTTAAATTAATCTAGAATAATAACAAGAGGTAGAATAATAAGTAAAAAGTTTTACCACGGTAGATTCAGAGTGACGACCATTTCCTTTTGTACACAGAGACCTGGTCTTTAAACTCGAATTGCACAAGCCTCTGTGATTGCGAGCATCTTCCTGTTTCTTTGTCTGCTGACAATAGTGAATGGCTTGATACCATCGATATCATGTCCACAGTCCACAAAATATTTTGCGGCACTTTACATTCAGCTGTTTTCAACCATTTCGGCAAATGCTCCATCATGAGAGTAGACAATCGCCTTTCTGTACGACCTATGTATTTGCTTCCACAAACACACTCAAATTAATATACGCAGTTTGAAGTGCCGAGGATTGGTGACTGATATTTCCCAGATTTTTGAAGCACTCGCTTAGTGGTGTTAAGGAAAACAAGTTTTGCAGCATAATAATTTGTCTTGATAGCTTTATCGAGTCTTCGTTTGACTACTTCCTGTACATCATCTCCTTTGAATGGCAAACTGATATAGACGGATTTCTTCGGAACTGTTTGGATAGTTTTGCAATGGCTAATTTCTTTAGATTATTTATTAATGAACTTCTCATGATATCCACTCTTAGATTGAAATATCCTTCAGAGCTTTTATTTCATACTCAGTTGTACTGCCAGAACAAATTTTTCGTGCTCTATCGAGCAGTGTTCTGACTAAGTTCTTTTTATACTGGATTGGAAAAAAGGTCTTGAAATGTATGTACTGTCCTGTCCATGAAGACTTTCTAAATATAGATCTTTCGATTGTGCCACCAGTCATTTTCACTAGAAAAACGTTTAGGAATTTAATAGTATCGTTTTCCTCGTGTTCAACTGTGAAATTGAGATTCGGGTGGCATGAGTTGAATTTAATCAACATGTCTTCAGCTCTTGATCTGCTTACACAGAAAATAAAAATATCATCAAGGTATACATTCGTTTCTTGTATATGTTGCGGCAAGGTTCCGGCTTCTAAGCCTGACAAGAATAAGTTTGGCCAAATGCAACACCCACATAAAATGTAAAAGTATCAAATACAAGTTAATTCAAAGCGTTGCTCCATCACTTAGAGAAGAAAAATAGTCTCTCTATGGATAGAAATTAAGTTTCTTTTTTGAGGAGTCTTCGTCTTTGGTCTCTGTGTTTTCTTCTTGAAAATGTGATTGCGGTGATCAGCGTTGACAGATGTGCCTGGAACCAGGATCACCGCAATCACATTATCAAGTAGAAATTAAGTTTGTAAGTCAACATAATTCCTTATCTATTTTTTCCCTCATCACTTACTTAATTCACGTAACTTATCATTATTTGCATTGATGGTTAGTGTTCGAATACTTGCCAGCCACGCACATGATCTGGGTGGAAGGGGGCAATTCCTGTCCGACTCACTCTTAAGCCTTACTCAGCCGTTAAGCCCGGTAAAGAGGGAAGGTCTGAAATGAGGCCAGCAACCCCACCCAATAAAAAATAAACACCACTGCTACTGATTACATAGTGCTACAAGAGCCCCGTATGAAATATATAATTCATATATGTCCAAGCCAAGTTCACCTTTAACAGTTTGAAAAAACTTGGGCATTGGGCATATGATATTCATTATAATAAAGGTTTTTGTATTTCCCAATGAATGAAACAAAAACGACGGACGATGATCAAGTTAGTAACCTTTATTTTGATATCATAATAGACGTACTAATACCTTTGTTATTTGGTTTAGTGATCTTCATTGCTATTTTTACTCTCAATATGTCCCTTTAACTTGACCTAAGTCTATTTTCTCACCCCCTAACTATTTGTTATATACATGCTGAGATTTTGTAAATTCCGGTTTAACAATACTTTGATAAAGCTATTAGCATTAAATAGCGAAACGTCAGTCAAAACAACGTCCTTTTGTTTTTCATTTATTGGGAAATACAAAAACCTTTATTATAAATATATATTTCATCTAATTTAGGAAACAACAAGACATACATTCTCTTAAATTAAAGTGAAAGATCTATACAATTGGAATATTTAATTTACGCTTAAAATAAAAATTTACCTGCGCAGAATAAAGTCGTGTTTGACTGTTTTGTCTGGAATTCAATTTCAACTTTTTCCTCTGTACTCGTAATTGGTCGATTTGTTAATTTATTCAAGATGTAACCATGACCGGAAAACAAAGCGATTCTTGGAACTGATGCAGAAAAACACAAAAAAGAAAATGAAGCATTAATGTGTCCTCTGCAGTATCAATCAAATAGTGTTCATAGTTGCTACTTTGGGTCAATGATAATATCCTCCCACTCACACAGGAGGTTTGGGTTCTACCTACAGTCAGTGCGACTCCAAACATCGACTATTCAGTTAGATGGGAGCAAGCCTGAGGAAGATGGAGGGCTGGGCGAAGATTTGATTCTGTGCTGTGCACGATATTTATGCGTAACTTTGTGATCAGATGAGTACATGACTTGATTTTTCTGAATCCACTTCTTTCGAGTGAAGTTTTGCATCCAAATTGGTCCAGCGCTAAGCATTATGTAATCTCCCTCTAGTTGGAAAGCATTCTGATTTACGCTATATACTTACATGCATCTATATTACACTACGAAACTTAAAGCAGTTGAAATAAAGCCTTAAAAAATTTGAGCTCTTTTCTATCCTGTAGATATCTTCGTTCATATTTCACTTATACTAATCAGTGTTTAAGTAAGATATTACAGCTGCGGATATCCAAAATATATAGGCTTAAAGAAACATTCATCTAACAACTAAATCAATTACTAAACAACATATAATAATACATTTTATTTTCTATAATGTTACAACTGTTATAACGTTTACTTCACTAGTCGAGTGCATGTCATTAACACATGTAAACCTAGAATAGATAAAAAGAATTTAGTAATAGCAACAAAACTCCACCCATCCACCTTACATATTTACTTCAATTTCTCTCTGGTTAAAAGTATCTGTCGTGCGAACTAGAATGTTTAAATCAGTCTTCCGGTGAGAATTCTTTCTCTTATATTTTTTCTCCAGACAACAATTTACAGACTATTTTAGCATTACTCCTGGAAATTTGTTACCATATCTCCATATCATCGTAAATCATCAGATTACTGAGTGATACTCTAAAGTAAATTGACTGCCTCTTTGTTTCAGCCTCCAGTGAAGTGAGATGCACACATGGTAATGCATATGTCGTCTAACTGTTGTTCTCAAACTCGTGTTATGCATATATATACAAAATAATGTAGTAAACACTACTTAACAGCAGATCCAATGATTATAAAATTCAAAAAAAACAACAATGATTTCTACCAGCCACAAGTGACAATGCTCACTGGAATCATAAGTTGATTTAAACGCTTGTGTGGCACAGATGTATTCGTCAACCTTGCTGATTGCATTGCTGAAACTCGTAAACATCAGTTTCACTTGATCGAAATAAGTTCATCTAGTGAACATATTTTCTGTCAAACTAAGTTCGTGCACACAGATTAATGTTTGAAAGTTAGTCTTGATTAGGAATCCAACGAATATAACATCCAGATCATGCTATTTTTGATTCAGTACTTAACAAAGTGAATAGGATTTTGAAAATGTATTTGAAATGGCATTTTATCAAAATTATCTGCTGAAATTGAATTCCATCACGGAATAATTGCAGTCAATAAAAGCGTAGTGATACTTTATCATTTCGTGCACATTTCAGCGATCAACCTCTCCCTTCATCTACCTATATTACATTTTAGAACTGTAACTATGAACCAACCTATTGAATGGTTGTATATTAGCTCATGCGTTCAGGTTGCTGAGTTTGATCTAACTTATTCATTTCCATGGCGTCAGTCCTTTTGCAGTTAGCCAAATTCCAATGTTCTGAATGCCTAACCAACCTCTGTCTACTAGTTTGACCTATATACTTGATATCAGAGTCATTTGCAGGGTATTTTGTTGATCAAATTATTTTACCTAATTGGTTCATCAAAGTCCTTTAGCCTACATATTTCGTTCCTGAGTTAGTTTGTAGGTTTAAATGCCACCAAGATTTCTACTTTATGAAGCATCCTGCATTGAGTTTCAGATTTCCTTTGTTTCCATAGTGAAACCTTAGATGCCTTATATCCTTTCTTATTTATCTTATCATAAATAGTTTCACTACTACTTTCCTTTTTATTGCGTTTTTCTTCAAACTTTTCAGTGATTTTTATGCAGTAGTTACTTAACACTAATGCCCTACCACCTATTTTCTCACTATGTGGTTTTAGTACGTCAGTACATCGGTTTCTTCAAGGCTGCAGGTACGCCTTGCCGGTGAGTTTCAACAAACACGAAACCTGAGTCCAGCGCTTCCTGAAACTCCAACCATCTTAAATGTATTCACAATGTGTCGCGATGACGAGTCACCTAGCTTGGTGAGTTCCATCTACTCCAAAATCAAAAACTAAACAGATTCTAATCATTTATCCAGAAGTTCTAATAAAATTATTAGAATACCCTGTTTTCACCATGATTTATTGATCCAATTCTCAGAAATAAAGAGACAAGTAAAGACAATCTGTGGTAGGTTAAATTTCGACAAGGTTTGACATCAAATAAAGAATCATTGGTACTGGGGATTACAAGATAACTGTATCGTCCTAGTTTCGTACATTTCAGAAGCCCACTCCACTAGCTCTACCAGGAGTCAAATTGACGACCTTCAGGTTATGAGGTGGAATTCAACACTGGAATTCAACTGCTTTGACGAAATCTAATTGCTCATAAATTCTAACTTTCGCTAGTTTGTGACACAATGTGCCATCATCCTACGTCGTCAACTTGTATCTACCCTCTCATGCGACATGAAATAGGTGAAATATCTGCAAACCAGCGCTCAAAAACCAAATTGCCGTTAATTTTTTTTTGTTGAACATGGAATGAAATTCTTGAGGTGCTGATGTAAGCAAAAATACCCACTGGTAACATTGACTAAAGGTGTCACAACACATCACAAATCGATTGCAGTTAGAGTTTAAGGGTCATTTGATTCAGTCCCACTGACTGAATGGTAACATGATTGTCTCGTATTGCGAAGGTCTTGTGTTCGATCCTCGTCGGGGTTATCAGTGTCCACTGCTCCAGTGTCTTAGACAAGCAAGAAAATACGTTTGGTATACACTGGTCTCCAATCGTTATTTTTATTTATGTAGGTTAGTGTTGAAATCTTACTCGAAGTCAGTCAAGTCCCTAGAAATCGACGTTTGAAATCTGTGAACACTTGAACGTCTTGGGTCGCTTAAACACCGTTAGCTAGACACAGCTTAACAATAATAACGTGGATGTTAAAGATTTATTTAAGCAAAGTAGATATGAACTAGTCAGTGTCAATATTCAAAACTCTTTCTGACTGAAATGTAGACAAGATATTACAAGAATACTGTTGTACAGAGTTAAAAATCTATATACTTTAGATAACGTAGAAGAGAACTAAGCTGAAATTGACAGATACTTTGAAGAAAACTGCTATGGATTTATCCGTTAAAAAAGTACTTTACGAGAATGGCAGTCTGTAAATCTTAGTTTTTCCCAATATTTCTAAGAGTGATCAGACAGCTGATGAATATTTAAGAATACACTTTCAGAAATATAAGACATTTCGTTCATCAATTTAGGCGTTTTCTGACTGACACTCGTCTCGTATGATCTGTAGTTTTTTTCAATCAATCAATTTGTAAATTCAGACCACATTTATAGGGATGATTGAAAGATAAATAATTACCTTACATATTTACTGTTTGAAATGAATATCCGTAAACTAGCATTTTCAATGTGTTAGAGAAATCCTTATTTTTGTATAACATTGTATGCAAAATCTTTACTTCTATCAACAGTTAGGTTTATTATGCGATATATTTAAAAGTCAGTTTGATGAGTGATAAGTTCGAGCTTCTTTTATTAACATCTGTAAACGCTGGTTACAGGATGTCATCATGAGCTGTCTTAGATAAGATATAAATTTACTAGCCAGATGGGAATTCAATACAAAATCTAGTTGTGTAGAAGTACTTTTAATAGCTAATCAAATCCGCTACAGAATCAGGATTCAGGGTCTCTTTAACATTTTGTCGAAGAAAAACCAAAAATCTGGAGTTTACAGACTACTGAATACATACAGTGCAGCTGAAGGATAAAAAGGCTGATTTGAGACCTGGTAGTCCTGACCTAGTCTTTTTGTGGTTTAATGAGTTTGAACTACTGCATACATATCTAAAATGGAGTGAACGATCCGTTAACCTTAGATATGATGGAGAAGATTTGTGGATGATTTTGATGTGGTTGTGTTTTCTGACCTGGATACTTCAAAATGAAGTATGCACTGAAGATGATGCCTAGCAGGTCGACGAAAGCTTCACAAATTAACTATCCAGCTCAGAAAACACAACCACATCAAGATCCGTTAACCATTTGTCCCCTTTGATTCTTTGGACAATATTCCTTTCTGATGAAAATTACTTTGACATACACTGATTTCCTCATATTACTTTATGTTCATAATAACATTCTTTTCTTCTTGTAATTTCTAAAGATACCGCTATGAACAACAATATGACAACCAAAGACAGGTTGTATTGTTATGTTTAACTTGTTATATTCATAAATTTACTTGTGATTAATTAGAGGAAATTAAATAACACAATTAGTCGGTATCTTAGTTGTCACCTCATTCAAAGTGGCCTAATTTGATGAAATTAGAATTGATTAGTTTCAATTCATTTAATAATAATAATAATGACAATAATTGGACAGGGTTATTCTATACAATGCATAACCAAGAAGATAATGATAAGCTTATTAATAATTTTGGACAGAATTATCAGCAAACACTAGATTGAAAGTCACCTTCAGATTGCTGAGAATAAAAATAATAAAGTCAACAGGATAAAGTTTGAGAAACCGTGAGAATGTTTTGTTAATCACTGAGTTATGGAAATACACTTTAAAAAAACGTAGGCTTGTTAAAACATTAATAGGTAGCAAAAATAAAACTGGCCCGTTTTAGAAGGTAGAAACATAATGTGCCGAACAGTAGATTTTCTCATTATTATTGACGCGCTTATCATTAAGGTAATTGTGAATATGAAATTCAATGCATATATCCCAGGAAACTCTGAATTACAGTACTTAGTATTCAGTGTCCAGGATTGCAAC